GGCGTTATGAGTTATGAGATGAATATTCATCAATTTGCAAATTCTGAACATATTTTAATGATCACTAAATTATTTGTACTTTCTTCTATAATTGAATAATCTGTCAAAACACACCTTACAGTTTCAGCGGGTGTTTGTAAAGCTGGGTTTTTCTGGAGACCTGGAATGTAAATGTTCCTGTCTCTAAAGCACTTTGGGTCAACTTGTGTTGTTTAAATGTGCTACAGGCTATAAATAAAATATAGATGACAGTCAACACAAAAACATTCAAACATTTTTCATACTGGATGTTTAAGAAAAAAATTTTTTTAACCACAATTCAAACTTTTACATACTGAACTTATAAGATGGAAACAAAGTATCACTTTCATTTTGCTAGTATTGATCCAATACCAATACTGGCGCTGGTGTACTATCACTAATGATACTACCCATATTTGGATCCATCTGCCCACATTTACTTTCCACTATAAATCTCATTCACCCAATCGCATTCATTTTATCTAACATTCACACATACACTCAGATCAGGGACAACTTCATGTTCAGTATCTTGCCCAAGGTAACTTTGACACAAGGACACAATTGATCCAACAACCTTCCAATTGGTAAACGATCCGCTCTACTACCTGAGCCATAGCCACCCTAGTTTAATGACATAAAACACAGAAGTTCTTATATTTAGGGGCTAAAGTAGTCAGAGAAAACAACAAACAGCCTCGTTATAATAAAGTGAAGAGGCAAACACTGCCCTAATACTCCGCTCCTTAGTATGATCAGTCAACAGGGGGAAGCTTGCTGAGTGTAAAGGTCTTGGCTGACTGGTCTGTAGGTGCTTTTCTATAACAAGAGCCGCTGACAGAAGAGCAAACAGAGGAAACCATACACCCCTCTGTCCTGGAGAGCTGAGGTGGCCAGAAAACAAAGGAAGGAAATTCTTTGTCTGCTGAAAATAGTTTCACATAGATAAATAAAAACATAATAATGAAACCTTGTTTAAAGCATTAAATATACCCACAAGCAAACCTTTAAACAGAAGGAAATATAGAGCATGGTGATCTAATTCAGATACTGAACGTTGGAAATACTGTTTGTTGGCTTTACTGTATGAGGTACTGTGTTTTTGAAGCATTCCTGAGAGGCTATGTGGACCAGACTGGCAGACTGGGTGATGAGTAAAAGCTCACCACAGAGGGAAGAAAGGCATGGCTGGCTTGTGTCTGTTTACATATTATCAAATGCACACAGATGTTAGGAGTAAATACAAGTGTTTTACTCTTCAAAGCTGTTTCACCTTGCATTCTAATCATCCCAAACTGCAGAGCAGAGTATCAGTGAGGTCACAGTGACATAGGTAAATCCTTCATTAGACGTCAGAGTTTCGGAGCAGAGTGAAAAGGCAAGAGAGGTGGGCTCAGAGCGGAGACAAGGACTTTCATTCAGCTCCTCCATGTCTCCTTGTAAAACTATCTTTCAACATGCACTTCTCACTCTTTCAGTGCAAGCCTTCAAGCTTCAAGCTTCAAGCTTTGAATGTCTTATTTTACTCCAGAAAGGAAGCAAAAGGAAGCCACATTTCCAGTAGAACATTAATTTTATTTAATCACAAGTATTACAAACTGACACCAAAAGTGTCAGTGTTTATGTCACCATCATTAACAACACTTCTTGTATATCTCAAAGCAGTCATTGGTGCTGGCATTGCCTGGTGGTGAGAGATGGCCAGCAAGCATGCAAGCACACAGCAGCCATCTTCAAGGCATTATTACTCTGAGAGAGAAGAGAGTCGCGATAAGACCCGGCCTTTACACAGACCAATGGCGTGTCCAGCGGGGTGGCCTGGGGGGGCACAGGCCACCCCCCAAACCAGACTGGCCACCCCAGGTGCCACCCCAAAGGCAAAACAATAAAATTCAATCAAATATCAAATGTCCGATTATGTTTTCACGGTGACGCTCAGATATCCGAGTGTAAGTGAATGCAGCATGCGCATCACGTTAGCAAAGGTAGGAGAGCCAAGCGCGAAAGACGGCACTGCAGGAAACAATTTTTCGGTGAAAGAAAATGAGGACAGAATAAATGTCCCGGTAAGTAATATTAAGTTTGTTGAGTTTAGTAAACTTCGGTGAAATTAGAATACCAAGGAAAAAATAACACTTAAAGAATTATTGCAGCTGTGGAATATTTCAGACAGTATGCTACTGAGGGCAGCTAACATAAGAGTTATGAGTTATAAGATATAATCTAAGTCGTAACGTTGCTGTATGGAGCTGCAGATTTGGTTGCAGGTTAACATAGCTGGACTGGCCATCGGGCATATCCCCAGTGACTTATTTTTTATTTTTTTTGTAATGGCATGAACAATGAGAGGTGGTGGATTGGCCAGATGCAGGTCGATGTGTAGAAATAACTCCGTTGTTTGGTGGTGGCTATGACGGGACTTCCACAGAGGCAACAGGTGGATGAGGGAAGGGGAGGCAGGAGGAGAGCCCCGAAGCAGCCGCCAGTCCGAGTGTCAGGTGAACTGAACTTCAGGTAAGAAGTTATGACCTGCAGTCTATCTGGGTCAGATATAAACCAAGTTTAGGTGGAGTTTATTTTCATGTTGCTGACTTTTTACTGTCAGTTGCAATAACTCATACTGCGTTCTAGCCAGCTTGGAGTTTTTATACAGCTGGGTGGGTGCTATGATGTTACTGATAGTGAACTTTATTTTATTCATAAGGTTAGTAGAGTTGCCAACGGCTCCTTAAAAAAATGGAATGGTCCCTCATTCAGAGAAAATATTACGCGTTTCATATTGAGCTGAGAAGAGACGCAGTTTGTCCCGGACTTTAGCTAGAATGGAAAAAGACACAAAACTGGATTTATTCTGTCTTTATGCTGCACAGCTGCCTCTTCTCTCATTCTCTCCCCCTCCCTCTCCTGTTGCTACTTCAATCATGAAACTGATCAATGATCAGCTGATCGGCTTTTCTCTCTTGTTTGTTTATCACCCACTTTGCGCCAGAAAGAGGAAACCAGCAGATGTTGCGCTAAACAGCAGCAGCACGTTTAAGCTTGATCAGCTGTTGTTAGAATTTATTTAATATTAATTTCTAGTATCAGCTGATGTTTGCTGGAGCCACAGCTGTAAAGCTGCTGGTCATGATGTCTGTTTAGATATGTGGTGAGAGGGAAACATGAAACCAGGAGATGTCCTTACTGGATCATCAGAGCTGAACAGGTGATGGAGAAACAGGTTTACCTTTTAGGTGACATGAATGAGTTGAAGTTATCAACTGTTTCTGAGAGATAAATAACACCAGGATCCTTTTTTATGTAGCTGACAGCTGGTAACTGTGCAGGGGCGGGTCTAGCAAAGTTTTGCCAGGGGGGCATGTAGGGCATTAACCCTCCTGCCATCCTTTAAAAAACTCACACCCATCACCCTAGGGACCATTCTCAGCCACGCCATAAAAAGACCATATATCCATATCTTATTCCACTTTAAATTAGCCAACCTTGTAAAACTACTTCTCCCTGAAATATTCATGTAAAGTTTTAATTATATTTTCGTTGTTTTAACCCTTCAAATCCCAGTGTTATTACATGAGCGCCCTGTGTTATAAGCCCCAAAAACCAAAAAACGAAACTAAATATTTCCACAAAAAACCAGTTGAAGTAATATGTGATTGTCATTATAAGTAGGCCTTTAGATGGACCAAAGATTGGCACCAACATACATTTTGACCTGCCATTATTTTTTGCATTTTTTTTGCAATTTAAAAATTAAAACTTCAAGGCCCTGAGTCTTCATTGACATCCAAGAAAAGAAAAAAAAATAAAATCATATGATGATAATTTGGGGTTGAAAAATAGCATTTATAATGGAAGTCAATGGGCAGAAAATGGTCCCCAGGGTGATGGGTGTGGGGATTTCTGCTGCTCAGCCATTTTAGGCTGATTTAAGGAATTCACACTGGAATATTAACATTGACAGGTAAAAACTATCCTGTGGCAAGTTTGGTTATATTCCACTGAACACAGTGGAAATGGCAGCCATTTAACACATAGCAGTGGCACAAAAAGGTCCCAAGAAGGCAGGAAGGTTAACAGGGAAAGGAGGGCACAAAGAAATACTTTTCTTTCTTATTCTCATTTAAAATACCTAGTTTTTATTAAATAATTATCTAAATCTTACAACCAAAGTTTTTATCTGACGTAAAATGTATAGAAATCATACATATACCAACAAGACTGTACATCACTGTCACAACAGCATTTGTTTTCATTCAAAGGCTTTATGGCTTTAATACCTGGTGGGCCGGTCTGTAGTCAAAATGCCCGATTTTCTGTCCCAGTCCAGCCCTGCAGGTTAATACTGGCAGTGTCACCATGCCAGCTGACTGTATTTTATCATCAGCCAGTGTTGTTCTTTATCAATATTACCAAAGTTTACCATAAGGCAGCATAGAAAGTATTTACTTGCTTTCAGGTTTTATTCAAATGTTAGTCTTTTCATTTGTTTCCCCACTTTTTTCCTGTTTCAAAATCAAACACCAGTTTGTGAGAAGATTATCTTCTTTTTTTAACAGGCAGAGAAAGTTTTGCATTGGCTAATTTGTCAATTGTTTGTTACAAATGTTTGTATTTTAATTTTCAAAAATGTTTTTGCCCAAAACATATGTGCAGTATATGTCAGTAAAAATACTATGCAAATATTGCTGTCCTTGACTGCTGAGTAAACACTGACAAAGCACTGATTGTATCTCTTGTACTTTATCAACGCAGTATCTAAAAACTTTGCACCGTAGTGGTTAAAATCTCATTCTAATAAGAGTTAAAAGTGCATTTGGTTATTAGGTTTATAGGATTATTGAATTATGGTTAATGGTTGGTAGAATTTTTTTTTTAAACATTATCTGCCAATTAAATCTGCCACCCTTCTCCAAATCTGTGCCCCTACCTGGCCCCCCCAACAAAAATTTTCTAGACACGCCACTGACACAGACTGATAATGTAGGGTTAAGGTGTCTCTCTCTCACACACACACACAAACTGTATGCACACACAAATACAGGCATGCACTTGTGTGTGAGATCAGTTTTAGTGCCAAGTCCAAATGGTCAGCCTTCATCGTGAAAAACTCATTAAAACAGAAAGGTCAGAATAAAAGTAGTTTCAAAGGCTGGATGTTTTCCAACACGTATAAATATAAAATATGAAGAAAAAAACCTTACTGGGAATGGAAACGCTTTTCTACTCTATTTGAGCACTCAAACGACTTTATATAACATGCTTTGTTCACACAAGCAGATTTTTCTACACTCAAGCGCTTTCTATCATTCACACACAGATGAACGCACTGGAGAGCAACTCTGCCCAAGGATACTTTCGTAGTGGAGCAGCCAGGGATTGAATCACCAACCTTCTGATTAGTAAATGATCTGGTTGACCTCCTGAGCTACAGTCACCTCAAATAGACAAGGATAAGAAGAAATAAGAATATAAAGCCAAAAGTACATTCAGTTTTAGATACCCAGTTATTCTTATGTTCCCTCTTGCTGTCTACTTCTAATGGTTTGTGTGCTCATTTCTGTGGAAGGGACTTAAGACAGAAGTAGCTGACCAATGTTTGCCATCCAGTACCACACCCTGTCTCCTCCTATTGTCCTTCCTGTTGTTTAAGACTAGCCTATACAGGTGGGATAAGCATTCATTATGTCTTCTAAGACCAGTGTACACAAACCACCACAAGTAAGATAACTAACTAAGCAGATATTCACATATGGGCTGAAGATACACATGTAGGTACATGCATCAGGTCTGCATGTTCTCCTCTGCATCTGTCTGTGAACAGGTTCCAGCCAGGTCATCTCTGTTCTTCTGACACCCCAAAGAGATTAGCTCCAGACACCTCTTGACCCTCAACAGAAACAAAAACAAAAAAGAAATCAAAACGTCTTTACATCAACTGAAATGCAGAACAAATACAGACTTAAATGTAGTTTAAAAATTATTTTTTTTAATTAGTCCTTTATTTATCAAGGTAAAAATCTCACTAAGATTAAAGATCTCGTCTCCAAGAGAGACCTGGTGTCATGGCAACAAAAGTCAAAAACACATGCACCACATAACTACATAGCAATTAAAATAAATACAATATTCCGTACAAATATGTGAAAAATATACAATAACAGCTTTTAGCTTTTTAGTGAATGAAGTTTACATGAATGTCAAAGAAGTTGAGCTTACACTGACAGTGGATGCAGGCTCTTACACCCATCTAGTGGTTACCAGATCAACTGCAGTCTCTGAAATTACCTGAGGTCAGTAGGAATTCTTTTTTCCAACCATAATTTGACTGGAGATCCTCGGCTTGGTCACAATATGCAGTTAATCCTATAAGAGTTAAGTATAAGTTTTTTAATTACAGTCATTTTTATATATAGTGGCCATATTAAATTGTGACTGGACAATTGTAATTGAAAAATTAGGGCCAGGCGAGGTCTATTCTTTCATTATTTAATGACAAATTAAGAAACTAAAAGATCTGGAGTTGATCCCAAGTGTTGAACTTGCAATTTGTAGCGTTTCATTAGAATTCAGTCAGTGCAAGTGAAGGGGGCCATAATTAACCCCCACATAAATCTATTAGAGAAAGTTGCAAAATCAGCAATCTGGTTCCATCTTAAAAAGAATGAATACTCTGGAACACCAAAAGGTCAGGAAGATCATGGAAGACAACCAAAGAAGATGATCACAGAATTCTCTCTGTGGTAAAGAAGAAAAAAATCAGAACATCTACCCAAGTAAAGAACACTCTCAATGAGGTATGAGTATCATTATCCAGGGTTTACAGCAGGGTGCCATCCACTAGTTACACTTAAGAATGGGAAGGGCAGATTAAACTTTGAGAAAACATCTAGAAGACATCCACAAACAAGCAACAGCTGAAAAGTGCTGCAGTAAAGAGAGAAAACAGTATTTGGTGATATCCATGAATTTTAGGCTGCAAAGGATTTTCAACCAACGACTAAAAACTGTTTTTATACTTAAAATTGTTGAAATTGTCCTTAATTTTGAGCTTCTCAAAATAGGGAATTGTGTATAAAAAGACAGTTAATGCAGTTAAACCCCATAAGGTAAACCTGAAAGTCTGCACTTCAGTCAGAGCTTGACTGCATGATTCAAAATCCACTGTGGTGGTGTACAGAGGCACATTTGCAGAAAATTGTCCCAGTTTGCAAAATCCTAAGGCCGTAACTCTATGTGCAAAGACAATTGTTGCTGTTAAAAATGAAGCAAGCTTCAGAATAAGGAGAAGGAACTTAACTAGAGCTTATGGGATATTCTGAAGGAAAAGATTACGTAGCTACAAATCGTTTAGTAAAAAAACTAATTTAGATAAGCCGTGATAACTGTACTTACTTCAGTACTGTAGGTGCAACAGACATTCCAGTTGCTTTTAAACGTCGAACGCGGAACAAAAGCGTGAGTTCATGTTTCTTCCGGTTTACAGAGTCGGCGTACAGGCGGTTTTCTTCAAAACATTATGGCGTCGAGAAGAGCGACAACAGTTCCAAGTAGTTTTAAAAGCATCCCCACCGACTCTAAAAGGTAGTTTCTATATTCCCTTTTTCTTTTACACTGCTGTTGTAACATTCTCCGGTGTGTGATTTGTTTTAAATTGTAGCTTATTTTAATGTGCAGAAAACACACTGAAGCTCAGCGGTTTTTCTTTGACGCACTACATATTCTTTTCTTTAGCGACAGACCTAGACATATTTAGAAATAGTTTATAAGTAGAAATACATTTACAAGAATTTTTTTGTGTAAAGAAAGCTCAGGATAGCTCGGCTAACATTATAGCGTCTGGCTTAGCATACTTTCTGTTTGTTCCAATTTCGTCCTCATTTCTGTATCCTTTATTTCTTCTCAGTTCAAAAAGCAGTAACCCTGCTAATAAAGCCAACAACGTCGGATTTGTGAAGAAAACTGTTAAATGTAAGTATGCGATACTACTATGGGCTTAATAGATTGTTAATTTTACCTACAGCTGTCAGTGTCAGACATCACATTAATTTATAGTCCTAAAAACTCCTCAAAGGGTCTTCCACAAGGTATTTGAGCTGATCACTGTCTATGTGATTTTCCACAAAAGATCTAATAATGCAACTCAATTTGCATGATAGCTGTTAGGTATAAATAAAATAATCATGACACAATTTTTCTAGAACTTGCTGAACTATTTTTCGTTTATAGAGGACTTTAGTGATGTGAGGCTTGCACAGATGTGTTACAACAGGGGTGGGGAACTCCAGGCCTCAAGGGCCGGTGTCCTGCAGGTTTTAGATAGCACCCTTGGTCAACAGACCTGAATCAAATGATTAGTTCATTGCCAAGCCTCTGGAGAACTTCATGACATGTTGAGGACGTAATATAGCCATTTAAATCAGCTGTGTTGGATCAAGGACTCGTCTAAAACCTGCAGGACACCAAGGCAGTTGGGGCCTGGAGTTTCCCGCCCCTGTGTTACAGCAACATTCAGCCTAAATGTTTTTTTTTTCTTTCTTAAATAATATCCATAAATGTCCTCATTAATCTTTAGTAAGTGGGACTGTTGTTAAGTCTCGATATCTTCAGTCTGCTGAGAAGACATCTCTTTCAAAGGTAATGCTATTTTTATTTCTGTTTTTCTGTACAATATGTGCTTCACTTGTTCATTAGATACATCGTTCTTGAGATATTGTCTCCAGCCTCACATTTATATTTAGCACACGTCTTAATTTCATCTTGAATTTTGCTGTCACGTTTTTCATACTGATTGCATCTCTGTAAACATTAACAGAGTAACTCACTGACCAATGAGTCGAACACTGTGCCACGACCATCTTCACCAAAACCCACAGGTGTCAAACCAAAGGCGGGTACTCCGACAAGACGCTCAATGGCCCCATATGCAACATGTAAGTAATCCCTGTGGCCATAGTTGTGACTGTGGGTGCTGATTCAGACATGTATAGTAAGTGTTGTGTGCTGTAATCATATTATCAGCTTTATAAAAAGCTTTTATTTTCATCTGTCAAGACTTTGATGCAGATCAGAGGTATCCAGTTCACTTTAGAGCTCAGTAATTAGGTCTACCTTAGCCAACATGCCAATAAAATCATGCATTATGATAATAGATTTACAAGTAGGCTGCCAAACAACCAAGTCACAACCACTTGAAATATTACAGCTACTGGCAGTTTTTAGTTTTGGACTGCAAAAGATCTTGTATCATGAAGTTTACAATACTGCATGCGATCTAGCCTTCTGGAGAGAAATTGGATACACATAAAAATAAAATAAAAATTTAAAAAGAGAGAAGTGAGAAAATCCCTCACTTTGGCTCTTCTAAGATAAAACTTTCCAACTACATTCCATCAGTTTGAGACTTGATGGAATGTAGTTTTATGCCTCTTTTCAGTTCAGCGGCTTTCCAAATCCACTGTTCCTGGATATGGATGTGCTCTGCTTGTATATATTTTTTTTTTAAAAAGGGACAATGGAAATTATGTGTTCTGAAAAAATATTATCAACTGACAAATGGATACAGTCAGCTATTTAGATTGATTCTAGTTGAATTGTTTTCAGTTAATATCTTTAGTAGTGCAAAAAACACAGCATCTGAGTAAGCGTCTATGGTCTAAATCAGCGGTCCCCAACCTTTTTTGCACCACGGACCGGTTTATGCCTGACAATATTTTCACGGACCGGCCTTTAAGGTGTCGCGGATAAATGCAACAAAATAAAACTAGTACCAGTACTGAAAAAAAGATTTATTCATAACACATGTGAAAAGACCCAGGAAAACTGAGTTAGCGATAAAAATGATAACAAAATAACGCTGAAAACCAATAAAAACCCTGAAAACTATACATTTCACACCTGAGCCTCAACTCTCGCGGCCTGGTACCAAACGACTCACGTACCGGTACCGGTCCGAGGCCCGGGGGTTAGGGACCGCTGGTCTAAATGATAGCTGTAAATAACACATTCACATTTTTCTTCCTTTTTAGCAATGATGTCACGTGAAAATGAAGCATCACTTCTTGGGAAAAGTGTTCTGCAGTCCACATTCTCAGATAATCCCCGCTTTCGACCAGATTTAGATATTTCGGTTATCAAAGGTAAACTGAATAAAAATGCTGAAAATTTTTTATGATTTGGACTGTCCTGTAACTTTGTTTTTTGTTCTATCTCCCAAGATCGAACAGTCATTGAAAATGCAGTAGAACCTGAAAGAAATCCAGAGAATGAAAAGATGATGGTTGAGATGGAAACATTTCTTCTGGCCTACCTCACAGCTAAGGTTAGTTGATGTAATAGATCTGATAATAGTTCAGTTAGTGTACAGTAAGATGCTAAGTAAAAACATAGTCATCTATTTTATTATTTTGGTGACTTCTACATCGAGAGATATTATGCTTACAATTTTTTACTTAAGATGGAGAGCAATACAGCAAAACTCAAGGCTGAGGCAGAAACAAAGATTCTGCAAGCAATGGAGGAAGAGCAGTCATTGCATGATGAGGTCAAGGAGAAGAAACGTCAGTATCTCCTTGCAGAAAAGAAACGGCTGGTGAATGAACTGCTGGATTTGCAGGTCTGGAATAATAAATGGTGTTTTCCTTTTTTAACATGCGTTTTAATTAATACTGTGTGTTCTGTTGTGGCACTGCTTACAACACTTGTAAGCAGATGAAGCATGGTTCTCTAAAATCTGCTGGTAGATGTCTGTGTTGATTTTGGACATGAAAAATGCAGTGATCTGGACCTGGATTCTGTGACACTGGCCTTCATTCACTCCTTGTGAATCTCTCACATGTCCTTGAATCAACTTTTCTTGACAATCCTCTCAGGGCTGTGCAGCTTTTCCTACCACATTTTTTTCCTATTTGTTGATAAGATAACAAATAGGAAAGATTGGGGAAACCTGCAGTCAGCTGAGACTGAAGAAGTCACTTGGATGAGTGACGAAACGTTTCTCCCACAAAACGCTACGTCCAGATGAACAGAATCAACTTTTGGAGAGGTCCTATTTGTTGACTTCCTATTAATATGCTTTAGTACAGCACTCTGTGAGCATTCAGCCTTTGCTGTCCTCTAGAGGGTGTCGATCATTGTCACCTGAGCTGTGTCCCAATTCAGGGGCTGCATCCTTTGGAGGATCGGGCCTTTGCGGTCTACGTGGGCCAGCTCCTTCAAAGACCGAGAAGTGTGAGGCTGTGAAATGGGATGGTCTAGCCTTCAGATTTGTTTGTATTTGAAAAGAGTAAGAAGAAAAATCTTACAACCAAGTAGCTGCCGTCATTGAATTCTGGGATAGGTTGGGCCACGACGGATACACCCGGCCCATCCTTCAAATTCGGGGAAATGAAGGACTCATTTTTCGGCTGCATTTGGAGCCTTCGAGTTGGGACAGCCTTCATCACCTGGCTGTGAGGTAATCGGCCTTCAAATGCGGCTTCCGAAGGATGCAGCCCCTGAATAGCACTGGACAACTGTCATCGGTTTTCCTCATGTGGCAGCTGTTAACCAAAATCATCAAAATTAAAACAAAAAAGGCTTGAAATATTTCACTTTAAACATACTGAATATAAACTATATTAAACCTTTACTTTTTTTAATTAAGTTACAATTGTTTTTTGGGGGTTTTTTTTATGATTCTAGTTTTTGGTGACGCACTAGTATATTTAATGTCCATTTGAATTTTGGGTTAACTAATGCGAAAATACACTTAGGTAGCAAACTTTGGTTCTTTTGTACACTCTTTTGAATCAAGCTGGATTCTATTAATGTCTGGTCAAAACATGTTTTCGAAATGAAAAATGGTGGACACACAAAGCGTATAATTGATTCATGTTCTATAATTATTGCCCCTCAGGTTGCTACACTGACTCCTGTGGCAGAGGCTGTTGGTCAGTTTACAAAGGACTACAAGTCTTTTGCTACAGCTGTTGACACCACCCGACATGAGCTGCCTGTTAAGAATTTCTACATTGATGGAGATAGACGTGAATTTCTAGGTAATTTTTACGTTAAACTCATAAGTACGATTTAAAAAAACAAACAAACAAAAAAACCCACAAAATTGCACTGATGCAGACTCCATTAAGCCTCCATATAAATGTTTTGATCTACTACTTATGTTGGTGAAATTTAAAAGCTACATGGAGAAATCCTTTCTATGTCAAACTGTTGACAGGAGGAGGACACACACACACACACACACACACACACACACACACACACTAATTTAAAAATATACTTGATTTAGCTGTGGTTTAATAACAAAGTGCCCAGCAGGGGGGTGCTCTGACTGGAAAAATAAAAAAGACTTAAAGAACTGCATTTAAAAATAAATAAAATAAAATTCTTCCATGAATCAAGTTTTGCTTGGGCTCTGTTGCTTGGATTTTACAGGATAGTGGTATACTGTAAGGCTATGGTAAGAGCCTTGTTTTAAGTCTAATTATATATTTAGAAATATATTTTTCAGGCATTTACATGAGTGATTACACGAGTGATTACATGATCCATTTAAAACTGTACAACCACCATGGGCTTTTGTTACAACAAAAGTCATATGTGGTATGTAGCTTGGAGAAAATTATTGTTTTCTGATCTCTTTTTTTTTTTTTTTTTTTAATAAATTTAAATTGAACCCTTTCAGATAAAGCTGTGGCATCCTTAAAGGAGAGTGAGAAATTGCTGTTGGAGTGCACAGAGGGTGATTATAAGGACAACAGCACATCTCTGGAGTGCCTTCGAGACATAAAAGTAACATCAAAGGACATCAGTCAGCAGCTGTCCGGGTAGGCGCATGTATAAAGAATGTTGTGTTTTTCTGTGTTAGGTTATGATTGTTTTGTTCCTTCACAGGTTGTGTAACAGTGTGGGTATGGCAGCTTTATCAAAACCTTTTAAAAACAATCACTTTTATTTTTATTTTTTTTCCCCTCCCAGGGCCTTTAAGGAGCAGCTGGAACTGTCATCACTGGTCTGTCGTCAAAGAATCTATGTGCAGCAGAGCACAGAGGAGGAGCAGCTGGGCAGTTCAAGATCCAGAGAGCTCTACTGCCCCAAACACTGAAGGATCGCATTCAGCATGGCATACACAGAACAAGCACTTTGGATATGCTCCAACTCCACATGTTTTATGATTTCTATATATTCACAGGTTTTGTCTGTTTTTGTGTGTACTGTGTAGGTGTACATTTGTGATTTTGTTTGTGGTTGTGTTGTAATGTTGTAAATGTGGACTAATTGCTTCTTTATAGATGTGACCAATAAATACAAGAAAGAATTTAGATTTTGCAGACTATGAAAAATCGCATTGCACTAAGAATCCATAATATCCTAACCAAGGTTGCTGAATACAGAGGAGTTTGAAACTTTGATCAAATAACTCTAACATACCTTGTCACTAAATCACAAACTTGTGATATCTCAGAAATTGGCAAAATTATTAATTTGATTTATGAGTCTAACAACGCGTTTGAATTTTTGTTCGACCCCTTATGTGTGCTTGTTTTATTTTGCAATTTTAACTAAACATCAAAAACTACGTTTTAAAGTCATAAAACATTCGACCTTAAATGAGTCCATCCTCACCCGGATGTGACGTTAATCAAGACAACAATGGGTCATTTCTATTGGTAGTTTGTGGAAAGTGACGACCTTCCCTTTACTGAGAGCCAATGAATCGCAGGAGAAGCCGTCGCATGTGAGTAAAACATTTATTTCACATAAAGTGACCATTTCTTAAAATTGTATTATAAACCAAATGTCAGTTGTATGTTTTGTGCTTCGAAAAACAGATGTTTGCGTGGAAATAACGATGTGTTTTTGTTTGGTAGCCAACCGTCCAGACCGCTAGCTAGCCGTCCAAGTTAGACATTAGCATGATGGTCAGCGCTGCAGTAACACCTGTGGCAGATATATATGTATATGCGGTGATTTATCCTTTACACATTGCATGCACGACACCGTATCCTTTGTTGCGTTGCGTTGTGTTATTCTAACCCTGAATCTGCAAAGGAGCAAGAGAGGTATTTTAAGATTTGGGGCTTCCTGTTTTAGCGGTGGGATGAAAACGTTATATTAAAAAAAGTTGCTTGTTGCACATTTACTTGGATAAAACTCGAATATGCACATTATAATACAAATGTTAGCAAAACGTTTATGCTGCAGTTTAAAAATGTTGAATTGGCGCATGTATGAGGATAGTGAGACGGTGGTGGCGTGTGCAGTAGCGGGCATCAGTACTGAGATTTTCCTTGTTTGCAGTGGTGATGGACAGGCTGACAGATGAGGTCAGGCAGGAGTCTCCATGGACCATGATCTCTGCAGATGATATTGTGTTCTTTAGCGAGAGTATGGTGCAGGTATGCTCTGGCGATGAGAGGAATAAAAGTCAGTAGAAGCTAGACAGAGTACATGTGTGAATAAGAGGGATTAACGCGCAACAGCGAAGTTGTAAGAAGTAGAGATATTGAAGGTAGGTACGTTTAGATACCTGGGGGCAGCCATCAAAACCAAAAGACAAGAGAACAGAAGAAGAGGGTGCAAGTAGGGTGGAGCAGGAGGATACAAATCTTGGGACACATTTGTGACAGATAGCAGCAAGAGAAAAGGGGAAGACCTATGAGATGGTGAGACCTGATCTGTGGTTTGGAGACAGTGGCACTGACAAAAAGACAGGAGGCTAAGCTGAAGATGCTAGGATTTCCATTGAGAATGACCACAGGATTGCAAAGATAGGGACGGTTCAGGTTGAGCAGTTTGGGGGCAAAGTTGGAAGCAAAGATGAGACCAGAGAAAGCGGTAAGAGCAAAGAAAATGTATTCAGCTCCAGAGATAGTCCTTGTTCTATTCAGCAGTTATTGTTGAGTTTTGTGGACCAGCTGATGAGCCAGTTCTCCACCTTCTGCAGGGGCTAGCTACAGTGGCTTCTACCTCACAGCAGTTCCCTGGTCTAGAACTACCATCGTCAGCTCCAGTTCAGTTGAAGCTCCAGGAACACAATCCCCAAGGATGACATTTATCCATATATCATCTTTGCTTTCAAAGACTGAGTATAAGCGGTAATGTTAAGATGATGCTGGGAAAGATCATGATTTTAGAGGCAGCACAGAAATGAAGTAGCAGCCTCTGTTGTTTACCGTGGCAGACGGATTCAGGCACAAAGCAGGGCTCATTTAAGTTTGCTTGACAACGAGTAGAGCTTACTTGTTGTTGAAAAAGGTAAATATGAGGTAAAAGGTGCTTCTAATACTTGCTTTGCAATATCAATATTAACTAGAAAGTGCATTTTCTGAAGAAACTGCAGTGTGAATGCTTGAATCTGAATGTATGCACTGAAATGAATTAATTGCTGAATTTTGAGTTAAAAATATTGAATGAGATTTAAAAAAAAACAAAAAAACCCCCCCGAATTTAACCTGAAAACAAAGGTGCTGAACTGCTAAAAGCTGAAAGTTACACAGAAGAAGGAGTTGGAAAAAAGCTGAAAATGTTTTAATTGTAAATTAGAAAAACCTAAGAAATGAGAAAAGAACATTTAGAGTCAGAAAACATCTGAAAGAATATTAAAAGGTCATATTCTTTGAATCACTGAATGACTAAAATGTGATCCCTCCACTTGGACCCACACAGTTTAAAAAGTTTACATCTCTGAGCTTTGAAAGACAAGATGTTGGAAAAAGAACAACGATGGCGACGTTTTGAGGGTAAAATGATGGCTTTAACACTGTGGACACAGCAGCAGTTGAAAGAGAAGTGTTTAAGATTAATTTTGGCAGAGTGAGAGAGAGAGCTCGTTAAGCAGGCAGGTGTGAGCCTGGTTGCTATAGTGACCGCACCCAATGGCTCCATACACACGGACACAGACATGCACCTCACTTTTGCTGCTTAAAATGAACAGAAAAGTCAGGCCGAAACAAATCGTTCCCAAATGAAAAGTAAAAGTCGTATTGACAAAATTCTTTCACTGTGAGCGACAGCAATGTCTAGTCTACCAAATTCTCAGTTTTCATGTCTGTGGAGTTTATTATATGGACGTGGTGACAGTGGAAAGACACCATGCTCTTCTGATTTTCAAACGAACCTTCTGAGCCATTTTAACATTAGAGTCTATGGAAGAGTTGGAGGGAGGAGGCTGTGCATTGGTGACATTTATGAAAGAACCATAACACCTAGTACAATAGTAAACACATTGGATGAAAGAGGACAGCCATGGCTACGTTTTGAGGGTAAAATCATACCTGTAGAGCAAACGCTGCGGACACAGCAGCAGTTTTAAAAAAGATTTTAAGATTATTTTTTTTGCTCCTCTCACTCTAGCAGTTGAGCTGCCTCACTCTAGCCCCAACATTCCGTCCCATACACACCCATTATAAACTCTGAAACAGGTGAAAAAACATCATGAAACTTAAACTGGAACTGAAGAAAAAGTATAATAGATATTGAAAAGATAAATGCAAGTTGAATAGTTGAATGTCTTGTCTTCGTTTTAAAGTTTGAATGGTGGCTCTATGTCAATGTATGTGGAAGTAGTAAGAGTTTAAAAATGAGTAAGTTGAATGAGGATTTGAAGGGTCTCCCCATTGAAATACATTATAAATTTTTGTTGAATAAAGTTGAATAAAATTAAAAATATAAATGTTAAAAATATGAAAAATGGAAGCAGTGTTGTCCAAAAGAATAGGAATCTAACGGTGTTGGAATGGTTTTTCTAAGTTGAACGGTTTTGAAGTTATAGGATTACAAAAAACGTACGGAATACAGAATAAAATATAATAATAATAATAATAATAATAATAAAGATTAGAATAACAATACTGTGAATGCTTTTCAAGCATTCACACTAATTACTAATTAAACTGTCAATCAAACAGATCTCACTCACAGAGGAGGGGTGCACCATCAGAAGGACAATGGAGACAAAGGGATAAAGAGCAGTGGCAAGGTGAAGGGAAAGCACAAGTTAGACAGGCGGACGAGGAGGAGCAGAAACCCAGACAGCATGAAGAGGACACGGTGCCAAAAGGGACCTGCCAAACGATGTGCCCCGCTCAGGAGTTACGGGATCGTGAGGCTCAGAACCGACTTCACCATTTTGAAATGTTACCAGGCACAGAGAAAGATCGGCGGCCAAAAGGAGACCCATCGCGTGCCGTTAAGGAGTATTCCAGACCAGCAGCTGGGAAGGACTCAACCAAACCGAGTGACCTCAGACCACCTCCTGTGCTGCTGAAAACTGTTAACTACCTTATTAATGACATTGCAGCCGCCCCGAGCCTGTATCCATGGACTGAGGTACGTAATATTTACACCGATCGTTCAAATTGTTGATTTCCACAAAAGCTTGGGACTTTGTGTAACAGTAAATAAGTCCAACCTTTTTTCAATATTTTAAAACTGGATGATGGCAACAGATTTTAAAAATGTTGGAAAAGGAAAGAAAGGCTGTAAAATGTGTAAAATACTGCATTCACAAGAGTCTTTCTGAAGTAACATTTCTCAGCAAAAATCATTTCATTGTTTATGGTACATAATATCAGGAAATGATTCATGTTTAATAACTGAATTGGTGACTTAGAAATTAAACTTTTGTTATTATTTAAAGACAGCTAAAGAATTTAAATTTAGGGCCCATTTATTTATTGTGCAGAAGTGTGTGTTACCATCTTCAAAACAACATGCACGTGCAGAAGCCAGTTCTTTATTTTACCAAGAACCTAACGGTGCTTTGACAAAAAGTGCAGTTGTAAAGCTTTAATTTTTGTTGTTGTCATAATCCCAATTCTTGAACCTTCCTGTCTTAAACTTGCTGTAGGTTATTCTGCTATATAAATTTAAACTGTATTGCAAGTGATTCTTACAAGGGATTTATGCTTCAGCGGGAAATCTACAGCGTTGCTACGTTGTAACTAATCGTTGGGTCGACATAGGCTACTTGCTGTGAGTGACTCTTTCAATGTGGTCACTTCCCCCTGTGCATTACTATTGCTACAGCTACTTTTTTGCTGCAGTTTTTGAATTTATCAGTGAAAGAATAACAATCGCTTTCTCTTGAACAAATAATCATGACATCGATATAAACACTCACAAATGTCAGCAAATTCTTGAAGGGAGATTGGTGAAACTATCAGAATGAATGTGAGCAAATGTACAAAGAAGTGGAAAAATTTAAAGATACAAATATACTTGCCCCCGAAAATAACTAACCACAACAAAGAGGCGGGTCACAGCTCGCTGTACAACCCAGGGACATTACAACAAGGTAATTAAAACATAATACACCAGCACAAGCATAAATGCCAGCAACGACATTAGCCACCTACGTAGGTTATGTTATAGCCTCTCTCCAGCAGAAGTCTAAATCAAGCCTTGCAGGGAACGACAAATATTTCACTGTCTGTTCATTTTAAAATATGTGAAAATATCTGATGGAAAAATAGCAAAACAGGATCTATCATCGTAGATTAAAGATGACTAATTTGTTGTTTACTTATTTGTTGTCGCGCAGGTTTATACCTTTGTCTTTGACCGTCTTCGTGCTGTGAAGCAGGACATGATCATCCAGAGGATGTCAGGATTGGACTGCGTGGTCATTTTAGAGCGAACCGTTCGTTTCCTCATCTATGCCTCTTATCGTCTTTGTGGGGAGCCGCTGCGTCTCTACGACCCACGTATCAATGATATACACCTGCAGGAATACCTCAGCTGGTTGCTGGATTGCTACATGACCAAAACAGGACCTCATCCCAACCAAGAAGAGTTCCAGTCGCTCAGTTTGCTGTACAACTTGGGTTGGTGACTTTGTTTATCATCTGCTATTTTGGTGTATTTGTATGCATGTTCAAGCTGGAAGTCATGCATGCATTAGTTCAGTGTTGTGCAAACAGATTTTTGATGCAGGGAATGTTTTTAAAAATTAAGGACTCCTCCACGTCCTCCAGAAAGCAATTAATTTTGTATGCTTTATTTTCTCTTACAGGTTCAGCTCGCACTATGCAGCACACCATGCAACTCCCATTGCGACTACGCAGCACTCCAAACATCAAACTTGCTCTTTTCATCAACCAAGCTTTCCTTGAGAGAAACCCTGTCCGTTTGCTTCGGTTGGCTCAAAAGCTAAACTTCCTACAGACCTGTGCGCTGCACCGTCACCTGATGACATGTCGTCAAGATCTGCTGCTCGTATACAGCCACGGATACAGCAGCCGCAACTGTCGCTTTCCTCTTGACAGACTGGCTAAGCTCTTGTTCTTAGACGCATCACTTACAGCTCAACTGTGCCGGTCATGTGGAGTTGAGGTTAACAAGGACAATCAAGTAGTATTCTCCAAAGCTGCTTTCACGGAGCCGGGACAAGGAACACTGCACTGTAAACTGTATCACAGCATAGCATCTGAGAAACAGAGAGATCTCACTGTTAAGAATATTGTTCAGAGCTGTGTTGAGACAAATAAGAAGTAAACAAGCCATACAAATACCGCTCGGTATTCTTATAAATTAGGAAATTGACTGTTTGTTTGTTTTTTAAGAAATCTGGACTGTCACTGAGCTGATGGCCACGAGTTACATTAAGATGTGAATTACTTTTATATTACTACCAATATTTTGTGTTGATGTTTCCCTTGAGTATTTTTTTACAAGAACTGTACAGAAATTCAAAGGTGTAACTGTTTACTCATTCTTATAAATTCAAATTTTGGAATCATTTTAATAAATTTGGTTACAGTCGAAATACAATGGTGGTCAGAAGTTTACATACATCATGGATTTGATTGTCGTGGTAATTTTGAGCTTTTTAATGATTTCTTTCTTTAATGGCTGGAATGACTGTAAAGTGTACGTCTTTAAAGGCTTTTTCTTTAAAAACAAAATGAATTTATTTAGGATTTTCTGTAATCCACACAGGCTCGTGCACTCACTTCATTTGTTAGTAAGTGGTGCTGAAGGTTCTACAGTGTCTTCTACCTTGACAAGACTTATTAACTTATGGTGATCATCATCAACTGAAACTGGTAGTTTCTTTGCCAGTTTAAAAAACAAAAGGATTTGTCAGCACTCGTTGGACTGACCAGTAGTCGGCACAATGTTAAAAGTCCAAGGAACTTGGTGTAGATCTAAGAAGGAGAATTGTAGATTTGGGATAGTATCTTGGGGTCATTTCTAAACAACTGCATTCTAAGATCACCAGTTCAAGCAATTGTACGCAAGTACTAGTTATTCAGTTATTCACTGTCACCCAGACGTTCACCCTCAGATGAGAGGAACTTGATTACGACGTTCAGGAACCACAAAAGCTCAAGCCTGCCATGAACTGAAAACTGCTGGTTATCCAGCATCACTGTATACAGTGAAGTGGGCTTTACATCAACATGGACTGAGAGTGTGTGACCAAAAGGCCCTGCTCCAAAATTGACACCTTCCAGTCCAACTGAAATTTGCAGCTGCCCACATGGACGAGCCTGTTTTGGTGCCAGTGGTAGTGGTGCATTGCGCAGTGGACGGAATAATGAAGCGTGACTATCTCCAAATTCTTCAACCTTACCACAAAAATCAACAGTTAAACGGTTGAAACATGAACACAGCTGGGTGATCCAACAGGACAATGATCCCGAACAGATCAAAATTTATTTGAAAACGAATAAAGAAGGCTAACGTTAAGCTTCTGGAAGCTAGGATACGCTTAAACGCCTTACCAGGAAACCAATTTAAATGAACTTTACTAAAAACATGTATACTGTACAATCATTCCACCCTGGACAAACAGCAGTTCGAAAAAGTAAATAAAAGACCAAAATAACCATGACATTCATGAGTGTATGTAGACTTCACGACTGCATCTAAACCTAAGTGCCACTAGAGGGCAGCAGATATCTTATCAGGGCATCAATGAACTCCAAAAGTGCAAATTTAAGTGAGTAAAACTGTTATAATCATGCCTTCAGTAATTGAATTGTGTCATTCACACCGCTTGGCATTTCTGTTATGTTTCATAACAAAACAGAGTAGCTGCAGATTTGATATATTCTGACTTTTTGGCTGAGCTAAAAACGTGCAGATAGTTTTTAGTGGCTAAAAGGACACGTTGCTACTGTTTCTTAAGCTGGTCTCATTCATGCTCTCTGCAGAGAAGAGAAGGTATCAAAGCGAAAGAAGCGCCGTCTGAAGCCTCTCAACGCGATGCTGTAGGAGCGGAAAAAAAGACCATCCGACTTGAGATCACCAGGAACAACCGGGACAGCGAGAGCTGCGCGGATTTTAGATGTCAAACAAATCGTAACGGTGACATTTCTCCGCGCTGAAGTGGGAGGACACTTACAAATTGTAATGCTGAAATATGAGAGAGCGAAGCCGGGGCGGGTGAAGGCACATGGGTGAGGACTGCTCGTATACTCCGGGCTCTAAAAGACGAAAAAAAAAAAGGGCACGATTTGCTTGGACCTGGATTTGGCGAAGACAGATGAATTCATTAAGTTGATCTTTGGTTCTCAACGGAGCTCTGCACACCTTTCTCTCCTACCGATCTCAATGGATAAATAGATAGACCGTGAGGGCTGGGATTAAATTTCATTTAACATTTAATCAGGGCTTTCAGAGCCAGTCTCATTCAGACGGTAAAGACTGTATCCTGAAGTATCCTGGGCTCTGGAGCCAAAATGTTACGGTTGTCTCTGACAGCTTTGAGGCTTTCGTGGATTTTGTACATCTGCACCGTGAGCACAAGTTCTCCACAAGAAAGACAGTAAGTAGCCTGTGTTACATGTGGTGTCTTTGAGCTGCTGTGTGCTCTACTACAAGCATTTCCCGGTGCTTTAAGTATGGATAGACTGTGATTGTTCATTGAAAAACTTTTAAAAATTATCTTTAAAAATAGTTTTATTTAAACTGAGTGCATTTCATTGTACGGATCAGTCAGATTAAAACCTTTTTGTGAATAAGCCACAATTTAATGTTATTACTGTCCCAACCACACTGCCACTAATGTATTGTTGTCATACTTTCATTAATTGTGTTACTAACCTGTGAGGTTGTCACACAGAGTGATGCATTAGGTCAATGATAGCCCATAACTTGCCAAATATGAATAGATGCACTCCTGTGTGTCTTTCATTGTTGTTTTGTTTAACCCAGACCCAGGACGGATTCTATCAGTCAGGTGCTTGAGGGGTTAATTGTGACCTTGGGAGATAACAGACCAACTAGTTGTAGCCAGGGGCGTAATTTCCAGGGGGGTTAGGGGGTTATGACCCCCCCCCCCCCCCCCCCCAATAATCAGACCCAACCAATATACCCCCCCCCCCCCCCCTCCTCCCCCCAATAAAATTATGAATTATCTTGCATAAATAGGATGTTGATTTTCTTTACTTATTTCAGGTATTACCAGCAAAATAGTTGCATGTCTAATCATCTGGGAATTTACCCAGATTTATTTATTTAGACAGAGATCAGCACAAAGTTACGCCGATGGTTGTAGCAATTCTTCCAGGAAGAGAGGAGGGGTTACTATCAAACTCAAGCTAAAGCAGATCTTTTTGTGAAGCTTTAAACAAGTTAGCTTAGAAGTTTAAGCAATGAGCAAAACATGAAACCATGTGACTCTTAAAAGCTTCACCTACACATGAGAGCAGGCTCTTAACTCCCACAGGACAAAAGTTGAGCAAAAACAATTAGAACTTGAGTAAATGGAGCCATGTGACTGAAATAAGCACGATCTCCACCACCTGATCCCAGCTCATCCAAGAGCTGGTTAAACTCACTGTAGATCAAACGCACAGAGTCAATTTCCTCTTATTATCCTCATTCTCCCGAAAGCCTTATTTTCCAGGGGATTTTCTCATGACTTTTTCTCTCTCTCAGGAACTGCAGTTGCCTCTAGCTGTAATGCCATTGTGCTGTAATGCCAACCACCTGATCCTTCTCTCATGCATGCAACTGGGCTTGTGCTCAAGGATTTGCTCACCTCTAATTTGTGTGATCTTCAGTTAAGTTGTTAAGGGGTGAGTTGGCCCAGTCGAAAAAAGCTGCAAGGCTGGGGTGAGCAAGCAATGAGTTAGACTAACAGGAAGATATTTACACTTGCGTTGCTGTATCAGCCTCGGTCATCACATGGTCAAAAATAATTAAACTGACTGAGTCTCAAACACAGCTCAACATTTGGTGGACACTTCAGTGAACTTGCTCCACACACTCTGGTGATTGAGTCATACTGGAGCATGCTAACAAGAGCACCTATTATTCTACCTTTGTTACCTGAGAGAAGTAGCCCCTTTGTGCCAGAAGGCATGTTCTTTCAAAATAAAACTTAAATTGAACCCCCCCCCCCCCCCCCCCCCCCCCACACACACACACATACACACACACACACACACACACCCTAGACTCTTAATAAGCATCAAAGAATGACCTTTGCTCTGTGACCTCAGTGACAGGTCCCCTTCCCTCAATTAAATGTCAGAGTGACTGTGAGGAATCTCAGCCACTATTTTTCCAAACAGATGTCGAGGTTCTGTCAGAGGGTGCCGGACCACCCAAAGAAAACATTAAAGCAACAAGCTCAGTGGTCGTCAGGCACTGCATCCCTGGTGAAAACTGCAATTAACCTTGTGCGTGCATGGAAGTGAAAAAGATGAAGCGAGACAGAAAAAAATGTGTATTTACACCTGGTCTCCAATCTCCTTTTGCCTCCCTTGCCATCACCTGTATTCTCCCCCTACTGTCATCTCACCTCACTTTACCCCCTTGCTCCCTCCTTCCTTTAAACTCTTTCCCTCTCTCTGCCCTCCTGCTCTTCTCTCAGGGGTTACTTGGTCGCTGCACCCTCTGTCTTTCGAGCAGGCGTCGAGGAGAGCGTGAGCGTAACCATCTTTAACGCGAAAGCAGAAACCCGCGTCCAGGTGCAGCTGTCGGTGAAGGGACAGACGGTTGCCCACAGCCATGGCTCAGTGCTCGGTGAGAACAAATTCTTTAAGCTAAAGTTACACTGGCACAGTGGGTTACGTTTGGAAACAAAGCATGCACTGACAAGTTAGGCAAGCTAAAAGATACCCCCTTTATGTCACTGTTTTCAAAGGATGCAGGCAGGCAAAATATACACATAGATTAAAGAACACACACACACAGACGGTGTGAGCCTCTGCTACAAGACAAGCTTTGGCTTTTATATAGATTATCTGTGACTGCAGGCATCAGTTCAGTCCAGCTCATCGGCCACTTAATGTACACACTGTGTGATTTGTTTGACAGCATAGATAGATGGTGCTGACTCTGCTTAGAGGAGACAGGTTGCAGCTGGAACAGCAACTGAACTGACTTAACCACAGCGCTTACAGTTAAAGCATGTTAGAAGCATGCATTTTATTGATCACTTTACAGATCTGTGAGAAACTGAGGTTTAGTTTAGCTTGGTTTATTAAGATCCCTATTAGCTGTAGCAGCACAGCAGCTATTCTTCCTGGGGTCACAGATCTCTACACTTTGACTGTAACTGATTACTCAAAGCCGTACAGCATCTTAACAAAAACAAAACGAACCACACATGCAAACAATCAAACAGCTCCTCACAACACAAATGGTGTTCCGCATCAAGCTAGGCACTGATGACATACTATTCGTACGTGCACACTAGTTCTGCTACATTGGCAATGAATTCTATTCCATAACAGACCAATAGAAAACTGCTCTACTGATTGAACTGGTTCTTGCTGTGAGTTATAAAATCTCTCTGTGGCGTGTTTGGTAGA